CTCTGTGTATCTTTCCCAGTGGACCGCTTCACAAAGTAACTCTTTTGGTCCAGATTCCATCTTGTAGCCTCGCCATGTGGCCCACCCATTTCCATTTCAGTCTTTGGGCATGGCTTAGAGCGTTGGTGGCTTTTGACATATTTCTTATTTTTGTGTGTCTTATTTTGTCTTTTATTTATATTCAGCATACATAAAGGAATCTTGTAATAACATTTAAATCTATTTGTGATAAAATTATCTGTACAGTCGGGTAAACTTTACATACGTGCCACGAAATTTAGGTCAGCCGAACATTTCAAACACGCATTGCATCAAACCGCAATCACGAAGGCATGCCACAAAGCTACCAATGTTCCCATGATTAACAACCACATTCGCGCTTTTGCTACGGCCATTATATAATCTGTTACACAGTATTCGAACAGTACAGATATATAGCAGGTTCATTGAGTTTTATGACTTGAAATACCATTGTATTATTTTATTAAAATTGACAAAACAAATGTGTACATAAGCTAGAATCGGTGTGCAGGAGCATTTCACATCTTTTCGAACGAACCACCTGTAGTTCTATCTACGGTTGATGCGAGACTTGAACAAGGAAAAGTCAGACTATATAGACTAGATGTTCAGCACTGAAAAACACCCAGGAAAAGAAGTGGCTTGGTCATCTGATACAAAAAAAAACCCGGCAGAAAAATATATTCCACTACAAAGTCGCGACTCACGGTTCTCTATACTTTATAAATGAATGTATTAATTTTACTTATTACGTAAAATTCGTAATAATCTTCATAACTTAATAACAGACGTAACGTATAAATTCTTAAATTAGTCACGGCGGCGTATGAACTAGTTTTCGTTAATTAGGCGTTAGAATCAAAGTTATGTTTATTTAAGATTATAATATATAAGATAATATATTATAACTGTCGTTTTAAGAGGAACATTATCCTAAGAATTATGATAATAATATAGGTATAATACAAAATGTTAGCGGTAATGTTTATAATAGTCATAATATTACCTATTCGTCGTGGAAACCATGTTCACACGCATTCTCTAGAACCACAAAGCTATCTCACGTTTTCGAAATCATTTTTAGGCAAGTTTCTCCCAGCTCTAGATTGATGTGTACACACGCGGTATTTCCTGAAGACTACTTTAAGTTCTCAGCGGAGACCGCTATTTTGCTATTCCCCTGGTCTTATTGATGACCACGAGCCACGAAAACCTCTTGCTGTCATTTAGTGCTTAGGCTGACTAGGCTTTACTGGTGGTAGGACCTCTTGTGAGTCCGCACGGGTAGGTACCACCGCCCCGCCTATTTCTGCCGTGAAGCAGTAATGTGTTTCGGTTTGAAGGGTGGGGCAGCCGTTGTAACTATACTGAGACCTTAGAACTTATATCTCAAGGTGGGTGGCGCATTTACGTTGTAGATGTTAATGGGCTCCAGTAACCACTTAATATCAGGTGGGCTGTGAGCTAGTCCACCCATCTAAGCAATAAAAAAAAAGGCTTATTTCCAATTTAATTTTGTTTGGAAAAAATAACTGCACCTTTATTTCTAAAGTATTCATTCACATGAAAATAGGTAGACAGACGTGTTACATCCAGATTAATTACGACATAAGTCTAGGTAAAATTGCCTATAAAAAAAAATTACTTTGCTCAATAATAGCACGAAATCAATTTTACAACAACAATAAATTATTTAGCTAGAGAGAATAAATGGAATTCTGAATAGGAGCCGGCTGCACATAAAAAGCCAGTGAATGCAGTGTAATTACTCTTTGTCTTCGTTATTTGCTGTCTTTGTGTTATTAACAAACGTTCTCCGACCGAAAATCTTTTGTCTTTCGACCGCACCGTCTTCAATTCTTAGCTTCATCAACACACAAGAAACATGGACCTATATTAGTCTCTTGAAATTTCAATTTTATGAGCAGAATTTCTACATTTCTTCACAGAAGTCGCTGAACTTTATTTAATTTAGAAAAAAACTTATTAAAATACATTTACTCTTCGGACTATCTTATTTGAATATTTTTCGTTGAAAACTAAAATTAAATTTCTAAAGGCACATAGAGTTATTAATAATCTTATCACATGTTTTATTATGTAATCATTATAGACGACTAATCATAATTATAATTAATCAAAAGATTACTTTATTAAGAAACCATGGCGTTATTTAAAATCATTTAGAATTTTGGTTTAAATATTGATAAACATGTTCATATTCATTAAAGCTGAACATAAACAATTACATGTTAAATATAATTGCTTATGATCAGCCTTGAAAATCGTTTTACAAGTCACAAAATCATAAATTCATTAGAAACGACTAATTTGTTATGGCTATTATTATCTATTAACGTCTAATAGCAATTGTAAAATAACAAAAAAGAATTATATTATACATAAATAACGTTAGTGGTATATTGAAACGCGTGTTTACAAATGTAAGCAAAATATTCACACAAAACCATATCTTTTGTTTTGTAATTATCTTAAAAATATTAATTAAGATTACGAGCTTTCAAATTATAATGAAAGATGATTATTATACGCTCTGAGTTACATTCTGCATTAAATGTTACGTTAGACTATTAAAGTTTAAAAGAGCCTTTTGGAAATGGTCATTTAGAAGATTTACGGAGAAAATATTAAGCTTACAGAAAATCGTTATGTCCTTTGTTGCTGAGAGTTGTGACGCCTCCATTCTCGACTCTTGCCTACATGATGGTTCGCCATCTTGTGTTATCAAAGAAAATAATCACATTATATCAATATAAACGATCGTACATTAGATGTAAACATAGGTGAATTTGTATAATAATACTACTAGCTGTTGCCCGCGACTTCGACCGCTTGGAATAGTTCACAAATAATGCTTTATTTTAGAACAAATTTGGTTAGCATAAAAAAACGTTATAGTGGACCAACCTTAACATTTAGAATATGTCTAAATGTTAAGCTGTCTAAGTCTATGCTGTCGCGGACTTTTTAGATCTTTTAAAGGGGAACAATTCTGTCATACATTATTTTAGCGAAACTTTAACCGTTTCTGCAGCGCACGCAGCGGATGCTCTCAAAAGGGAAAAATCCCGATATTGAAACATTCTTTATTGGTGCTCCGCTTGTATTGGTCTTAGCATGATGTTATATAACCTTCCTCAATAAATGGGCTATTTAATGCCGAAAGAATTTTTTAAATCGGATCAGTAGTTCCTGAGATTAGCGCGTTCAAACAAACAAATTCTTCAGCTTTATAATATTAGTATAAATAAATTTAACATATTGCAATTTAAAGAATTAATTTTAGATGCGTTGTTTCTTTCCCCTGAGACAGAAGAAAGCTACTCCCTAGATTGGAACTGTTGAATGTTTACCGTTTATCTTTAATTTTGTGACGTGTCATCGACGTAGACACTTCAACTAACTAGTATACCTACATACTCGTATATGATGGTTAAATGTGTCGCTTTTTTTTGGTACTTTGGATTTATTTCCATGCTATTATATCTTTTATACTATTTTTGTAGTTTTTTATGTTATTTTCCAGATAAAATGGAATTCCTTTTCAACAAATCTATATATAGTTATGTATATATAAATGCTGTTCGTTAGTCTCGCTAAAACTCGAGAACGACTGGACCGATTTGGTTAATTTTGGTCTTGAATTATTCGTGGAAGTCCAGAGAAGGTTTAAAAGGTAGATAAATATGAAAATGCTCGGAATTCAATAAAACTAACAATTTTGTTTTTCCTTTGATATGTCCCCCGTCGGACGGATTCGTTTTGTTTGTTTTATACAAAAGTTTAGGTCTTTTATTTATCGATTGAGGCATTACGAAGTTTGCCGGGTCAGCTAGTAGTATATAAATAACTACATATTTCGTTTCGCGTTAAAATAAATTTAACTTGAATTATGAACGAACAAGAATACCTACAGTAGTAGCGTACAAATCGAATTGTGTTGTTAATATAGATCAGTGAACAAGTTGAGGGTCGGTTTTTCAAAGCCTATCGTAAATTACATTTTCTCTGTAGAGGGAAAGGTAGTAAATTTAATCAACGTATCAAAAAATGTTTCGAGTTAGATAAATCCAAATATCCAAAATAAACATTTACTATTTGTGTTCAAAGTGAGTAGAATATTCTGTATAAACTATAATCGTATTATTTAGAAAGCTCGAATGTATTTCTTTATTGTACTAATATTCGGAAGATTCGGAAGAGTGTGTAATTATTCACTATATAATTATATCTATATCTATATTATTTATATAGATATAAAATGTATATGGCGTAACGTTAACTTCTATCAAATATGCATTAGATTCAAATAGTACATGACCTATTTCCAGCTAAAGCTAAACTAAACTAAGCCTTACGCTTAGAAGTCTAAACTAATGCACTAGATACGGTCTGTGATATCTCAACTGACATTTTAATAAATGCACTTCACAAACTCATGGTGCAATGAGATACGCTTGTTTAATTTAGAGTGACCTTCAAAAGTCCTCGACAAAAGTTTTATTATTTATTATTTTATAATAATAAATATTTACTAACAATCACGCCACGTTAACTGGTCCCGTGATAAGTTCGTAAAGAACTTGTGTTACAAGTGCCAGATAACGGAAATAAATGTAAGATTTTTATTATACACATACATATATTTAATATACATCCATAACCCTGGAAAAGACATTTATATTTATCATTCAAATATCTTCCCTTGGCGGGATTCGAACCCGCGACCCCCGTATGTAGTGACCATGTCACTTACCACTACACCAGACGGCCGTAAAAGTGATTTAAAACAGTAATATTACGACATTCGTAATTCACATTTTCACGAACCGTTTGGACATTAATGAAACTCTAATGACTAAGTTTTCATTTTGTTCCAGATATTAACTGCGGAATGGTGTACTAGTGGATTTTTCGGCGTACTAACGACGACTTAAGTGTAGTGTTTATCATTCAAAATGTGTTCAAATAAACATAGAACTATGTTTACTGTTATGGTTATTATGCTGGTCAGTGTTGTGAGTGCAAACGTTAATACGACTAATGAAATCAACGGACAGTCACGGATGGCTTGGATTAAGAGTCTTTTCGATCACCACTCCTGGTCTGAAATTCTCAACGGCAACATTACCCTGCCAACAGCCTGCGAGAAAGACCTTCAAACTTATCTCACTGCTTTACAAGACGGACAACTTTGGGCCTCAAAAAGTGAGTAGTTTCTTAATATTATTTAAACTTAAATTTATAATATTCTTAAATTATTAGTGATAGGACCTCTTGTGAGTCCGCACAGGTAGGTACCACCACCCTCCCTGCCTATTTCTGCTGTGAAGCAGTAATAATGCGTTTCGATTTGAAGGGTGGGGCAGCCGTTGCAACTATACTGAGACCTTAGAACTTATATCTCAAGGTGGGTGACGCATTTACGTTGTAGATGTCAATGGGCTCGAGTAACCACTTAACACCAGATGGGCTGTGAGCTCGTCCACCCATTTAAGCAAAAATAATAATGATAATAGATAAATAATGTTAAGGCGAAAGGCGATTGCATGCAGCAGAGATGCGAATGTTGCGATGGATGTGTGGAGTAACGAGAATGGATAGAATACAGAATGAATATGTTAGAGGAAGTCTGAAAGTGGCACCTGTGACAGAGAAGCTGAGAAGTGCGCGTTTGGGATGGTATGGACATGTGATGAGACGAAATGAAAATGAGGTTGGTAAGAGAGTGTTAACTATGAATGTGGAAGGATATAGAGGAAGAGGTAGACCTAAGAAGAAATGGATGGATTGTGTGAAAGACGATATGGGTAAGAGGGGAGTGAGCGAATAAATGGTATATGATAGAAGAGTATGGAAGGAGAAAACATGTTGCGTCGACCCCAGGTGACTGGGAGAAGGGCAGGAATTGATGATGATGAGATAAATAATGTTAAACTAAATAAGAATCATTATCGATTTTAACGATGTCATCGCTTTAATAGCATTGTAAATTAATATAGTAATGTGTACTGAAGCCGCAACGCACGTACACAAATCCAAACCAACGGGTTACGTATTATAATCATTACGCTATTTTTGTAGTACGATCTTTCTTACGTTTACATTATATTATGTAAGTAGGCGATGTAGCAATAAAATCGTAGGCAGTCTGCGGGGCGGCCGTTCTCAAGAGGATCGTAACTCAAATATTCATCTGGTGTGCCCCAAGGTTGCGTTGATTGTAACCTCAGGCAGAAAACATTAATAAACAATGTAGCCAGTTAGAGTATTTAGTTATTCAATATAGTGCAACAATAGTGATGATAAATAAATAGGTGTTATGATCGAAGTTCAGTTAGAACTAGATTTGCAGTTTCTGTATGAACATTTGAAAAGCATACAACTTTAAGATCGCCGATATTCTTTAGCAACCTCAAGTTAAAATATATTTTTGTTTAGAGGTTTGAAAATTAAGCTGTCGAAAGCGAGATTCCTTAACAAACTTGAACATGATTAATGTGAAATTAGGTGTGCCTTTTAACATTACATAGCTTTTGTTAAGCTTTGAATAAAAAAAACCATTTTTGTACTCAACTATCTTAATTATCATTATTGAAACAAGTATAGGTTAATTTTCTTTACTTGTGTTAATTGGAGAACAAGACCTGTTGGTGTATTCAGCTCTTATCAATTATATCTGTTTATCATTTAATTTTATTGTTATGGGCAGCATGATACCGGTGGCTTGATGCTGCGATGACCTTGGTAATTAATATTATGAAACATTAACTATTTTCTTGATGAATGAACTCCCCTCCGCGGTGTTTTTCGAGCGCTATGACATTCCTTCTTCAAACGAGGCTTGCGGAGAGTACTTAATGGCAGGCAGCGACTTGGCTCTACCCCTGGCATTGCTGACGTCCATGAGCAACGGTGACGACTTACCATCAGGTAGGCCGTATTCTCGTCTGCCTACAAAGGCAATAAAAAAGAATCGCTTTCGATGTACACAACTTTGGAAATGTTTATTTAAATCGATATCGATTTGATATCGATCGATAATCGATTATATAGTATGAAAATGGTTTTGTTTATTAAAACCTATGGCATCACACGTTGTAACTATATATGTAATTCAAATATCCCATTAAGTTCAAAGTGAAGAATTTATCAAGAAGAATTAAAGACAACAATGCAATTAATCACCTGGTTACAACTTACTAAGTTTGTTCAGATTTTTTGAGTTACATATTATCAGTTTTAATTATTAAATTTTCTTGGAAACCCTATACTTTCTCGTTCAAGACTCAGCAGCATGCAAATTATCGGCCTAATACTCATGCAGTAGCAAACGGAATAAGGAAAGTATTTTGTCGCATTAAGTACGTCACCCGAGGCAAGATTTCAACGCAATATACCACAGTAAATGAAGCTAAATGAGTGTGCTCAAATGAATGAATGGTCCCGGCACTTACGGACCAGCCGACCTATTCATTGCGCTTTTGTAGAAGCCCCAAACATTGAGAGACTTTTCCCTTCAATAACGTAGTATGAACTTTCCAATATTCGAAAAATATTGGTTTCTAAAGAAACTTAAGTAATCTTATTTTTCTTTCATTGAGCCGAGTCATGCTTTCCACGAGGTCGTTTGTCCATATTAGATAATTAGAAATGGTATAACTCTCCTTTTTAATATGCTTTTATTAGCTTCAGATGTAATGTATGTATGTAACGGAATTTTTGAACATGATTTTGACCCCTTCAAAACGTCGGATTAACTCGAAATTTGGAATAAGTACTTATTAAGGACCGATGACAACTCAATTTAAAAAAAAAATTGAAAAAAAATGAAAAAGTTGAAATTCAACTAAAAAATGAATAAAAATAAACAGTACAGTTAAAAAAACTATTTATAGAAAATAAAAGCGTATTTAGTTAGTATTTTTACAATAAAATCATTTTATAGTAAAACACCATTGAAGTTCATAAGACACATGAAATATTCACATAAATTTGTATTCGAAACGTCACAAATACCAAACTAAAAAAGTAAGCGTTGACAGATATCACAAAGTTCCGACAAATGGACTAAGGCATCTCGAAAAAAAAAAAAAAAGATACGTACTGGGAATAATAACCTTTGTATCCTGAACTTTACGCCGGAAAGCACATGAAATGTTCGCAGAAGTTTTGGCCCTGTGATGTAGGTCGGTCTTTTAGTGTGCTTTTAAAAGTGAACCAACACCGAAACACAAGTTAACGTAATATTTGTGTTTACATTACGTTACGTACGTAGTTTATTGTGTTCACATTTGTGTGCCTCTCAAAACGTACATCTATATATCGACGCTTGAAAGGCAAACGTGACTAAGCGACAATGCGTGAACTTTACAGTAGACTAATTTAAAGTTGAAATACCTGAAAACAAAATTTATTTTAACGAATCTAGTTGTAGTAGAATCTAGGTAGTAGCTGTAGGATTGAAATGATTTTAATAGACCTAGAAAATTTTTTTTTGCGCGTCGAGTTTGGTTATTGCCTATCATTTATGTACAAAGCAGTTATTGTCGCTTAGTCACGTTTGCCTTTCAAGCGTCTATATGTATATAATATTATTATGTATAGCTATTAAGAGATTATTTGGGGCTGACATTTTGTTCGAATCACGTTGTTATAGACATGAGGAAGTTAATGTCTCTTTGTCTATATTATGCGAATATATGACTTTATTATTATACTAGGCGTACTAGCCCGCTTCGCCGGGCATTTAAAATTAACATTATTATTTATTGTCATTATTATTATGGAGTCCAACACTCATATCAATATTAGCCTATCCATTAAGTACATGTATTTTCTACATGGATACCACGTTTCGAGTCAATCGGATGCATGGTTCAGTAGTTATAACGGAACATCCGTAAAAACCACTGTAGATTTATATATTACTAGCTGACCGGAAACTCACGGAAGTTTCGGGGAAAATTTATAATGAAAAAAATATCATGCTGGACAATTATGTAATACATACTTTATCTCATTAGAATGATGCAGGACACCCACCCCTATTTATTTACAAACGAATAAGTAGTCAAACCCGGTCCGCATTGTTGTCTAATCTTTGATTTGGTTATGCTCTGATCGCTGTGAAAATCAGAGGATCACCTGATGAAGATTTCCTGAAAAAATATTTGTAATCGGTCCAGCCGCTTCGGATTATATACACACATACATACACATATTCATTTTTAATTACTTAGAGTAGATTAAAAAATAAATATTTATGTTAAACTATAAATCATACTAAACAATTACGTAATTTAGAACTTTGCGTAAACCTTTTGTGTCTTATCAATGAACTTCCCTTTCTGAAATACCCTACTCATAAACAATAGCCTTGAAGATATAACTCGCCGTTGAACTCTGAACAGAAAAGCTTCCGTTATATTTGTTCTCTTCCAACTTCACATTTACGTTGCTCACAAAGTGACAAAGCGATTAAAAATTTCATACTTTTTTCTCAGATTATACATGAAAAAACAATTTGTGACGAACGCTAACGTTCTAATAATAATTTGGATTTTTCTTCTTTTTTTTATTGCTTTGATGGGTAGGCGAGCTCACGGCCCACCTGGTGTTGAGTGGTTTTTTTATTTTTATTGCCTTTGTAGGCAGACGAGCATACGGCCCACCTGATGGTGAGTGGTTACCGTCGCCCATGGACTTCAGCAATGCCAACGGCAGAGCCAAGCCGCTGCCTACCGGTTACTGGAGTCCTTAGACATTTACAACGTAAATGCGCCACCCGCCTTGAGATGTAAGTTCTAGTTTCAGTAAACCTCATTGTACATCGAACATACTATGTCACTGTACGAAGATTGTCCCACCCTTCAAGCCGAAACGTATTTATTACTGCTTCACGGCAGAAATAGGCGGGGCGGTGGTACCTACCCGTGCGGACTCACAAGAGGTCCTACCACCAGTAATTACGCAAATTGTAATTTTGCGAATTTTGTTTGTTGAACACTGTTTTATTTATTATATAATATATTAACTTGTATATATTTTTCTTATATTTATGTATTAGACACATATACTGTCAAATTTTAGGTTTCATAATTGCTTCCGAAACGCATTCCACGGAATTATTGTACGGCGAAGACATATTTAATCTATATCTATACTAATATTATAAAGAGCAAAGATTTGTTTGTTTGTTTGTTTCG